GCTGCTGCTGGCTTAGGCTTTGCTGCTGCTGCTGCTGCCACCGGTAGTATAGCTTCCGTTCCTGCTGCTGCTGCTCCCCCTTCCGCCTCTTCGAAAAATGTGTATCACCCCAGGCACTCGTGGGGCTTGCCGTTGCTGCTGCTGCTGCTGTTGCTGTTGCTGCTGCTGCTGTTGCTGCTGCTGCTGCTGTTGCTGCTGCTGCTGCTGTTGCTGCTGCTGTCAGAGAACCTCCACTGTCCTGCACGGCAGCTGATGATGGCGCTGCTGCTGCGTCTCCGTGCTGTGTGTGCTGCTGCTGCTGCTGCTGCTGCTGCTGCTGAGCAGCAGCAGCAGCAGAAGTAGCAGCAGCAGCAGCAGCAGCAGCAAGGGCTTTGAGGGGCTGCGGGGTTTGGGGGCGCAGCACCGAGGCCATAGTTAAGCTGACCCCAACCAGCTGCGGCTCCTCATCTGAAGATGAGTTTGCTGCTGCTGCTGCTGCTGCTGCTGCTGCTGCTGCTGCTGCTGCTGTTGCTGCTGTTGTTGTTGCTGCTGCTGTTTCTGGTGCTGCTGCACCTGGTGCAGTTGATCCTGTTGCTGCTGCGTTTGCTGCTGCTGCTGCTGCTGCAGCTTGTTTGTTGCTGCTGCAGTGGCTGCCCCCCAGGGGCCCCTCCATGCTTATCTATGGGCCCCCTGGGGGCCCCCCAAGGGCCTCTGCCTGTACCCAGTTACTACCGGGGCCCCCCGAGGGGGCCCCCCCTCTCTCTGGGGGCCCCCCTCCTGCTGGGGGGCCCCCCTGACCTAGGGGGCCCCCCTGCAGCCAGCGGAGTACCTCGAGCCTTTACTTCTTCTTTTTAGGGTTTAGGGTTTAGGGTTTTATTTTTTATATTGACGATGAGACGCTGCAGCCAACACACCATCCTTTGGGGGCCCCCCTAGGGGGGCCCCCTTCCTCCCCCGGGGGGCCCCAAGGGTACAGTTGGGGGCCCCCAGCAGCAGGGAGCAGCAGCGGGGGCCCCCCGCTGCAGCTCTATAAGCAGTAGAAGGGTTTAGTTATTTTGTTTACTGCCACAATATAAC